TTTTCCTCGAGGCATCGAGCAAAGCGGCAGCACTATGCGCCCGGCAGCACCGCCGGGTCGATCGACATTTCCCATGGTGCCGTATCCTGAACCTTTATCTGCCGACTCCATCTACACAGACTACGGCAACGTGCCACTGACCCCGCCCGTTGCGACTACGCGATCGACGGCACCACTGAACATCCAAGCAGGCATCACGCCAAATGGGCGCAGGGCGCTGCCTGCAACACCACAAAGCGCCAGAAGACCCTTACCACCCACACCCACTCCTGCAGGCTGGACAATGTCCGCATCGCCATCACCCAGCAGCGCGCACACCTTTGCAGCTGCCACCTTGCTGCCGCGCACACCGCCAGCTGCGCTTGACCGCGCCTCTATTGCGAGCACGGTGGTGATGCCGGCAGATTTAGGCAGCAGGCCAACATCGCCCAGCAGTCCGCGCACTCGAGCAGTGGCCGCTGCCTTGCGCGCTCGACTACCTCGTCTCAGGACCACGTTTGGCGAGGATGGGCAGGCGGCGGGCGAAGTGGTTGGCGATGCGCACGCGCACGCGCACCTCGGCGCTGGTGAGGATCAGATTTGGCCCTTGCCCAGATCGCGCCAAGGGACGGGTAGCAGTGGCGACAATAGCGGCACTGTGAGCGGATCTGGACGAGGAACAGCGAGCGGAAACGGAAGCGGAAGCGGAAGCGGAAGCGGTTTGAGAGGTGCGAGAGAGGGCAGCGGAGGGACAAACCGTGGTGCGGAACATGAAGGCACGGGCTTACCTTCCCAGAGCCGCTTTTCAATGACTCCACCGAGTACGAGCCATCGCGACGCCTTTGCCGCCGGCCGGACCGAGCCAGACGACGATGGACGACGAGGTGGACCAAATTCAGGCTTGACTGCTTCTTCTTCTTCTTCAAAGACGACTTTGCATTCGTGGCGCTCGAGTCGAGGAACGCGAGGCACGGACAGAGGTCATGACGCAAGCAACAACAGCGATCCGTCTGCGCGAGCGCGACGAGGTCACGATCGTTCGGACTCTTTGCGCTCCGGCACGAGCATGAGCACGAGCACGAGCAGCAATGGAAACAGCGATGTGAGCTTGAGAGCTAGCGTCATTCGAGCATATACCTGGCTCACTAGGGAAGAGGAGAATGATCTCTTGCCTAGCGCTGCGCAACGACCCGACTCTATGTTGGATAGCCAGACCAGCTCACGCCCTGCAGGCTTGCCGAGCTATTATCAAAGAGGATGAGACTTTTTGCATGGGCAGCGGCGGCGAAGAAAAATTTCCACCGTACCCCCAGCATGCGCGCGCACACACTTTTGAGCATGCATCTATACCACAGCAGCACTGTGCGACTTGTTCCTTGTACATTTCTCAGCTTTGCACACTCTTTGACACAGGAACTCGCAAAATAAATCTATAGATGTCAACAATGTAAATGAGGGCGACATTCTGCGCACCCTTGGGGGTTTGCCGTGCGCATCAAGCGATGCCGTTCCAGCAAAGCTCATTCTTGACTCCGAGGTGAACGCTATCGGCATGAGGCGTATCAGTGATGCGTACAATCAGCTTGTGACCCGACCG